GCTAAACATGGCAACTATCAAAAAGCTAACTCCAAGCTGGGGATGAGCCACTTTAAGACTCCTATGAAGATTCAATGCTGATTTTTTTCTTAGTATATATATATTTTTAAAACAAGTAATCAGTATTATTACAGAATTAAATCACCTAATGTACAAAAGGAGAAAATATTGCTAAGAGGTCCTGAAAACGGTCCTGTTCTCTCCTCTGGACACTGGAAAAGTATTATTTGTTGCATAAATAGAGAAAGTGAGGCAGGGAAAGGAAACTGACTTGGGCAAGGTCACTGAGTGAGCTGGTCAAACAGGAAGGAAATGATTTTTTTTCAGTCCGAAAGGTCACAACCAAAGAGCTAAGATCTCTGCAAAGCAATACTAGCTAGATAAAGGCAAAGTTTTGTTTGCAGTTGCTTTTTCTTGTTCTAACTTGCTTTTAACCAAGGGGTCACATGCAAAAGACATTCCCCTTTTTCCCAAGAACCCAGCTACTGTAACTGAAGTGTGAAATCATATCTCGACTTCATACAGAGCAGAGGACTGAGATTCACACAGTGAATCTAGTCCAGAGAAACCAAAGTTTTGGTCCTTGAGACATCTTCTCACCTGATGGGCTGAGCCAGTTAGAAGCTCTTTTTCCCCCAGAGAAGGAGTGTTACAATATTGGTTAAAAATGAACTACAGGAAAAATAAATCACATCAATAGCAAGGAGAATTTGCTTATTTTCTCCTTATATTGCAACAGGTCACAGAGCTAAATCAGAAAACAAGTTTTGGAAAAATTTTATTGCATGTGTTTTCCATATGGAAGCATTGAACAGAATCAAAAAGATGTGGCACATTCACATTACTTTCTGAAAAGTGGCACAGATTATTGACTTTCTCACACCCAGATTTGGACCGATGTTTAATACATTTCATTCATACTCTCAAAATGAAAGCTAAAAAAAGGATATTTTTTTAAAAAAAAATCAACCGATAAGAACCCAGACATCCAGCACTCAAAATGTCTTCCCACCTCCCTCCAAATACATTCATGGATTCCTGCTCCAACATAAAACCCCAATCACCTTGGTCACAGAGGTTGAGATCACCTTTTTGTTCTGTGTGCCCTTCCTTCTGCTGGATCTGTGAAATCACAGGCCAGTCTGCACCCACTCTCCCTGCATCATCTATGACAGTAGCATTCTGAATCCCTAGCACATAAAACCTCACTGCTTCCAACTGACGTGTGTATGTGTATTTATTACTGTGTGTAGATATCAGAGGGTGACTTTGCTTTGAGGGGTTTGTAAATGTTAATCCCTGAAAATGAATCATTCTAGAGAGGGTGTGTCTATGCCCGCCTATAGCAGGGGCCAGCATTCTGATACCAAGGTCTCTGCCACCTCCTCCACATCCCCCATCACCAACACTGTTTAACTGGTATCTCACTGAGGAAACAATGGCTTGAGCTGCTCTCTCATTCTTCTTTTAGTCTAAGGCATTTTGCACTGAGGAAAAATTGCCCATCCAAGTCATTCTACTGACTAACAGAGGGCACAATTTCTTGATTTGGTGGAAACAGTCTTTACTCCCACTTACCCCATCCCTCCCTCCCTCCCTCCCTCCCTCCCAACAAGGCAGCTAGACTGAACCGCTTTTCCTTTATTAGGAGCAAGGAACAGAGGCCCCCGGGCCTTGTTTTAAAGCTACTCCCACCATCCCAGGAAGCCAGTGCCCCAAGGGGCCCTTCTGATCGGCTCCATTCCCTGATCCTCAACCTTTCCCAGCTCGGTGACTGAGTGTCCATCTTCGGGGAATTCCCAGGAGCCCCACTGCTATCCCCAGGATGTTCCTCCTCCCCACGCTGGCCCCCAGAGGCACTGGGAGGCAGAAGGCGCTCTGTTCTCACTGCTGGGACCACCACAGGCCAGTCCCACCAAAGTCACAACTCGCACAGTTAGGAGAGGCGGCCACGACCACCAGGAAACAGCGCCCCTTCCATGTTAGTTATGCCAAACAGAAAGCAGAGAACAAACCAAAGGCCAGGACAGTTAATTTAAAGGGGTTTGGAAAAAAAGAAGAGGAGGAAGGAGGAGGAGGAAGAGCTCCAACCACCAAAAACTGCCTGGATAGCCTGAGAAAACAGAGCTCCTCAGAAGAAGGGGGCTTTTTTTTCTCTGCAATGCTTGCCATTTTACTTGATGTTAAAAAAAGTTTTTGTTTTGCTTTTTCGGTTTAAACATTCATGTAAAATTTATTGAGCGGTAGTGCTGTCATGTGGCTTTGTGTGTACTGGATGTGCTGGTCAAGGATCCTTCAGACCACATACTGGTACGGGTCTGCTTTCCCCTGGTCGGGTGTAGCAAATGGGTTAAGCCACGCTATAGAGAACGGGTGGCCAAACACTGCTTTCATGTTCATCCATTTTGTTTTTTTAGCCCATCTTCTCTCTTCCTTTTTCAATTGTTCTATTCCCTGAAAACAAGAACAATCACACTTTCAGTCAAGCACTTTCATCACCATGGTTTTGTTTTGGGGGAGGGAAATGTCCATTGCCTTGTGGCAAATGAAATAAAACTTTGTAGGGTTTTAAAAAAGTAATCTAGAAAATACTTTCCTTTTTCTTCTTTTAAATTGGAAAAAATATAAAAGAAAAATATTATTTTTTTTTTTAAGCAATGGGGTAAAGTGACTTGCCCAGGGTCACACAGCTAGTAAGTGTCAAGTGTCTGAGGCCAGATTTGAACTCAGGTCCTCCTGACTCCAGGGCCGGTGCTCTATCCACTGCACCACCTAGGTGCCCCAAAAGAAAAATATTATAAAGTTATATGGAACTTTTTTTTAGGGGGTGGAGGAAATACACATTTGTAAGCATTCTTTTTTTAAAAAGAGGAGAAAAAAACAACAAAACTAGCAGACATCTAACAATCACCTTCAATGTCTGATTCTTTAGAACACAAGGAGTTTTTGTGTCTGGAACTATGGCTTGTTCTTAAGTTGGGCCTAGTGTAGGAGCTAGGAAGGACCTGACATCATGAAAGATATAATGATAATTAATTTGGGACCAATTTCATGGTAGATTTGTTTGAAGAAACCATGACCAGTTTGCAGACAAAAAAAAAAGGTTAGAGAGTATTTCCAGTGTGGTTAGCTTCCCCAGGAGTGCTCACAGAGAGTGAAAATATGAGTGGCATGAGGAGCAAGAGATACACAAATAACTGGGAAAAGGTTAAGAGAACTTTAAATGAGGGTAGAGGGAAGTCATCAACAGGAAAAGGAAGATACTAAATTAGTAAATGTTAAAAGCAATAGCACAGACCCTTTCCAACAATCAGACCAATCAGCCCCCGTTACAATGGAAACAACTTTAGTATTCTTTACACAGAGTAAAATGAAATCAGGGTCGAGAGCTGTTATCAGATCTCTGGAGGACAAAGGTATTCCTTTTCTCGCAACCTGAGATAAACCACATAGTTACATTACCATGGTCAATCAGTACCAGTACCAGGGAATGTCTTTGGGGTCCCCAAGAGGAAAGGAGGCCCTGGGCGTGTGCCCAGCCCTTGCTCTCTGTCCACTGTTGCTTCTAGGAAGGAAGGGGAGCCAGCAGGCCCCACCTTACTTTACAGGAGCCAACTGGACTCTTCTGCCCCTTCTAGAAGTCACAGTGGCTAGGGTCAACAGGGAAGGGTCCTGGCCCAATCACCTGTAACTTCTTCACCTCAGGGGACCCCTGCTCCGACAGCTTGCAGTTCTGGGTGATCAAGACTTGAATCAAAGGAACCCTGGTGAGAGCCTTTGTTCAAACACTATTTATTTCTTGGTAGGAATCGCCAACAACTGGTCAGTAGGGGCCTTTGTTAAAGTTGGACAGGAAGGACCTTCCTTCTCTGTAATGTGGAGGCACTAGGTAAAAATACAGACTTAATGGGGACCAATAATACTGGTAGGAGTGAGGAGGAGAAACTTTTCCTTCAGACAGAAAAAGAGTGTTTCTCACGGCCTCCTTCCCAGAAGGCTGTGGGGGTGACTAACATGACCCATCACAAGCTTTCTACTTTCTCACAGGACTGAAAACTTACTGACGGCAGGAATAGTGTCTTATAAATTCTTGTAGTCTCGCCCTCACTGTCATAACGGAGCCCACAATGGTGATCTTCACAGAGTGGGTGCTCAAATAAATGTGTATGTGTGTGTTTGTGTGTGCGCACGCACGCACACAGGATACACAGGGTGTTCCCAAAGTCTCAGTGCTATTGAAAGCTACTGAAGCTCAAAACAAGTCAGCATCTTGAACAAAGACTTCTGGGACACTGTGAACGTGGGCACAGGCACGCGTGGACCGTAGCATGATCGTCTAGCAGAGCTGCTGAAGCATGCAGGAGAAGGCATTCTTCCCTGCTGGTCAAACTAATCCAGAAGTCACCCTGTCTCCACCGGAGGGCAAGCATGGCAAGGATCACAATGACTCTAATTGAAAAGGAGGTTGCCAAGGCACGCCCGGGGCCAGGCCTGCGGAAGCTCAAGGCTCTCTTCCTGCAGATGTCCCTGGGGCTGATTTCCCCAGGCTTCTAAGACCACCCTAGGGCTGCTGGCTTAAGGTCAGTCTATGGCCCTGCCTCCAAAGAATGAGTGACCAGTGCAGAATCCCTGACCAGTCCTTCTGCTCTCCACTGTAGCTCCTGTTGCGTTTTCTCCTCTGCTCTAAGGGCCTGAGTTTACTGTGAAATCAAAATGCAACCCAGAGCTATCGAGGTACAAGAAAGAACACTTTCCTCTGGTAATAAGAACGCTCCAATGACATTACAAATGACTAGCCTTGATCTCAGATGGGGGAAATTCCTGCCAAAGATTCCCTTCATATAGACTCAGTAAGAGTGATGCAGATGTAAAGTCGCACAATATACATGTAAACACAAAAACCTGGTATCTCACCAGCCTTCTTTACCTCGGGGCCTTAGAGCACACCCGAGTCACCATGCTGGTCACGCCAGGGTGGGTAGGGGCAGGGGGGCACTCACCGTTTCATCCGTGCAGATGGAGTGTACCTGGGTCCCAAACATTACTGATGTGAAGATGAGGAAAAGGAGGGCTTCAAAGCACAGCAGGATGAGGAGAATCACTGTGGTGGGCGGGGCGAACGAGCTGCATTCTGCAAAACAGAGATGTGGAAAAGGCCTTCAACATTGGCCTGGGACCATTCCTGCTGCAGCCCTTTCCCAATCATAACGTAAGACTCGTCTCCTTCAACTGGAAAAAGCAGAGGGACGGGGAGGAGGACAACAAGAGAATGACAATTGCGTGACACTGCTGCTGTGTCTTGGGAAGATGACAGAGATGACGGGGAGAGAGCATGTCCACAAAAACAGGCTCCTTTGCCTTCATTTCCACAGGGACTGTTCCTTCTGAAGTCAGTACTCGAGGAGAGACCCCTGAGGACCGGAGACAGAGCAGGAGGACCCTGCTGAGTGACCTTGGGCCGGTCCCTTCCCCTCCCCTCAGCTCCAGTTTCCTCACTGGTAACACGGGGGGGGGGGGGGGGGCGCCTGTACTTGACACTCCTCTTTTGCATTAAAGTTTACAAACCCCTGAGCTCTTCGAGTTTCCTCTCAACAAGCCTGAGAGGCAGGCAGTGCATGGAGCAGCATCGCCATTTGGAGTCTCTGAGCTTTTTTAGCCAGCTTTGAAATCTTCCTTGTCTATGCCATTCACTGGCAAGTCACTGCACCCTGCCTGCCTTGGGAGACCTCTTCTACTGCTAGGTTTATCATTACTTAACTCTGACATCATTCTTTAATTTTTCATGCGCATGTGCCCTCCTCTTCCCAACTAGACGGGGACTTCCTGGCCATTGACAATCATGCCGCCTGCCCCATTGTCATGGGCCTCCACCTTCGGGATCCTGGGCTCTGAGAGGAAGCTTCCTTCCCTTCTTACCTGAACAAGGCCTCCAAGGGCCGGTTAGCGAGTACACTACTAAGCATCAAGTCGTTGGGGTTTGAAGATTCCTGAGCCCTAGTCATTCCAACTAGAATGCAGGGAATAAAGCACTGAAGAAAAAGTCCTCGAAGCATTCCCGAGTATCATTCTCCCTCCTGACTACACACAAAGGCTCCCACGCTGGCACTGCTCTGATCTGGCAGGTTTTGTAAAGACACCATCACTGACTTGCTTCGTATCTCACCTGGTTCTTGCAATGACACTATTAACTCTGCACAAAGGGATCGACAGATGATGTCGCTTGACTCTGTGGGGACTCAGCTTCCTCCTGTGACAGACAGCAACCACAGCTGCGGCTCCCACTTCACGGGGCACCGGGAGGTTCACAGGAGACGATGCACACACAGCACTTTGTAAGCCGCGGCTCTCAGAAATAATAGCTTTTGTTATTACTACTGGCTACTATCTCTGTGGAGACAGTGCAGGGAGATGAAGTTCGCCGAGCCAGAGTCTCAAGTTAAAAAGGACCTCAGAAGCCATCTGGCCCAATGGTTCTGAACAAAAAGCTCTTCTTCAAAAGAATCTCTCTTTTGAGAGAGACTAAAAGAACTCTGGAAAACAGAGCTCTGAGAATTAGCCACGACACCTTTTCACTGGCATCGATAGCTGGCTGGCCCGGTGAGCAGGGCTCTGCTGTAGACAGCAGACCTTCAGGGACCCACGGTCTCCTGCTGTGACTCCTCCCACAGTCCTCTATCCACCTGGACCCAAGAGGGTCCCGTGGCGCTCTTCTCCCAAACCCAGTGAAAGTCCAGGCCAGACTCTTCGGATGTGGCACCGTCCCCTCCGGGAGCAACCGCATCCATTGTCAGTCACGTCACCGTGTTGTGGGCCACTCCCGTGCCTGGGAGTCTGTGCCTACACTACCCCCCTCACTTCTCGGGAGAACAGATGCTTAATTCTAGCAGGTTCTGGTACAGTTCCTCCATCTCTGGGACATTTTTAGGATGTCTCCATTCCCTCCCCAGCTGATGTGTGCCGCCAACTAACTTTAACATTAGTTTAAGTGGCACATATCACAGCACATCCCAGAGTCAGACGTAAACTCTGGGGAACCTCTTGGGATAGTTATCGGCCTTCTTTGAACACTTACTATTTGATTTCATTACACTTTCTCTTGTCTCTTTATTAGTTTGTAAGCCCCTTAAGAAGGCAGACATCAAGTCCACTCTTTAATATGAATTCCAAGCTCCTAGTATAGTAGCCTCTGAAGCTAAGGAGTACTTGCTGACTGACCAAGGACCCTGGCCTGTGCGGCCCTGCAGCGTCAGCCATCTAGGAGAAATAAGCATGGGGGATGGCAATCTCTGAGCCACTCCCTTCCCCATCTACGTCCTTCAGTCAGAAGCTTGGGGTCTGTGACAGGAGACGACAATGCCTCTCCCCTGAGTGACGTTGTAACACACAGAAGTAGACGTGAAACAGAGAACGGAAGAACGGAAGACGTGAATGAGGAAATAAAGAGAGAAGACACAACAAAAACGACAACTTTCTAATCATACAAAAATTCTGGTATCCTTGAGACGCCTCTGTGAGATAACTGATCACCAAAAACTGCTTTCTAATTCCTGCACATACAACGAAGGTCGGCGTTTTTAACATTCTAGGATTTCTTCACAAAGATTCTGAGCACGACAAGCGCAGCTTCACAAGTGCCCTTTCCGCAGGCGGCACCGCTTGTCTCTCAGAGCCTGTGAGGTTCTGGAGGCTCTTCTGAGGTGGTTTCATGGTATCTGCTCTTAAATGTCCCATTTTAATAAATGTTCTTCTCCATTTCTGACAAACAAACAAGGTTGTGTGCTCTTCATTAGGGAAAATTCATCTTCCTATTAGAACACTAGGATTTCTCTGGACAGTTCAAGTGAAGCTGGTCCAGAGGAGAATAAGGTGCCTTGTACTGCTTATCTCACCTTATTTAAAAAAGCAAATGCTTTTTCTCTCTACATGGCTGAGCATTTCTCTTCCTCCCCTGAACGGATCTTCTTGGTCCAGCACCAACTCACTGCTGGTACACTGATCTTCTTGGCTGTATTTTCCCCAGTGCCTTCTAAAAATCTTCATCTCAACTCCTGACTTGACTTTGCATTGGGACTATAATAGCTGAATAGATTGCTATGCCTTATTAAGATTGGTTTGTTTTTTTTTCTTTCTCTCCTATGATTTGCAGGGAAGCTAACGAAATCAAGTAACCCCAAACCAAGACCAAACCTTCAAAGTTTGCTTTCAACCTCTGTCTGGGGGAAGGAAACACTGGCTGAATACTCACCTGTCCAGTCTTCTTCAAAACAATACAGGAAATGAAATCCCACCATGATGAGGGCATGCAGGGAAATGAGAGCTATATACATCTGCAACAAAAACATGGAAGAAATGCAACTTCAGGGACTAGTGTAAGCTGAAGAAATCAGGTCTAAGGACTTTCAGATATGTGAGCATCCTAGGGATAGTGGGCTGGGTCAGGGAGGATATAGAGGAGGAACAGCAAGTTTGGCTTGGGCGTAGCGCTGCCTGGTGAGCCTTGATAAAGATGCAGGCAGCTGGCCACGAGTGCTAACCAGGGAGCCTTGTTGTCCCAGTCTCTTTCTTCTGATGTGACAGTTGTTCAGTTTTGATTTTGTGAGTTAGATCCCAGGCAGGGCTGATCTTGGCACATGACTCCTGGCTATCAGTGACCATTAGCTGTCACTTTCTACTGTTCTAAGAATGGGTTGGGAAGGTCCTAAAAAACCTCAAATTCCATCAAATGACCAAAACGAAATTCTTTAAATGATGTCACTCGTTAGGTCGGGACAGTCTCTTTTCAAGGAGACAGAAATAAAGGCCCTCCGTATGCAATCTGTGTAAACGGCCACGATGCCCATGACAGTATTCAGAACAGTATCAGTGGCTCATTATGGCCCCTCCAGCATTTAGGAGATCGCTGGCCCTTTCTGGAATCACTGCCTCAGGGAGGGGTGAGGGACCAACTTACGGTGAACAGCACGAAGTACTTCTGGTTATTCTCTCCCACACAGTTATTAACCCAGGGACAGTGGTGATCCATCTTTCGAATGCATCTCTTACAGACACTGAAAAAGTGAATAAAGCTGACCTTGAAAAATATCATTAGCTTACCTGAAAGGCTAAATGTAAACGAAGATAAAACCAAGCCACCCAGAAACATAACAACAATAAAAATAGTTAACGTTTACACAGCACTTTTAAGGTTTGCAGAGCACTTTACAGATACTATCAAATTCCTTATAATCACCCTGTGAGTGATTGAGTTATGATTAACCCCATTTTACAGATGAAAAGTCTGAGGTTGATAGAGGTTAAATAACTTAAACAAGATCATAAAGTTAGTGTAGCGGGATTTAAACTCAGGACTTTCTGCCTCCAAGCCCAATATTCTATGCTACCTAGTTGCCTCAAAAACAAAACAACAACAACAAAAAAAACCAAAACATTAAAGGATCCCTTATTCCCTGTGATCTGCCACAATGACAATCCAGCAATATTCCAGGATTAAGAGAAAGAGTGTGTATGCTTGCAAGAAGGTATGATGTAACCCTTCAGAAAATAAAAGACTTTTGGTATTATCAGTTTACATAAGAACATTTTTTTTTCCACCTATGTATAACACTTAAGAAAATATAAACGAATGGGAGAAAGATAATATGTTAGGAAGGCCTAAATCTCATCACTCCAAGACCATAGGCCAAAGCCATTGTTAGCTACCATTCTTGCATACTTGTGTCTAATACCCTTGGCTAACATTACAAAGGCTCCCGTCTGCAAGAGAAGCATCTTGACTGAAGGGGCTTTGGGAAAAAGGGGTAATATGGTGCGGTACCACTCCAGAAGTGGTAAGGGGACAGGAGCAGCAAGAACAGAACCAGAATATGATCTTTCCAAAAAATTTCTTACTTGTCAACATAAAAATTCACTGCCGATAAACCAAAGAACTGAACTCTTGGCTCCAAGCCAGGGGTGGGGAACCCATGGCCTCAAGGCCACTTATGGCCCTCTAGGTCCTAAAATGTGGCCCTTTAACTGAATCCAAACTTCACAGAAGAAATCCTCTTAATAAAAGGATTTGTTCTGTAAAACTTGTACTCAGTCAAAAGGCTGCACCTGAGGACCTAGAAGGACACATGTGGCCTCGAGGCTGTGGGTTCCCCACCCCTGCTCTAAGCTTTCTAGTGGCTCTACTATCTCTATTTATTCTAAGCCTTTGTGAGTGGGTGTTTCGTTGGCCATGGAGAAATGCCAAGCGACCCAGCATCTTGATACAAGTAGCCCAAGAGTTCAAACAAGCACTCACAAAAGCCATTCCTTTTTTTTCTGCCCCAATCTTCTAAAAGGGAAAAAGTATAAACACAGGAAGGGTGTAACTTCAAAAAGAATAAAGGTAAGCTGTACAGCCAGATAAGAAAAACAAATATACTTCAGGAAGAACAAAAAAGTGATGATAGCAAGTTCAGAACTGGTCCAAGAGACACAGAATGGTCCTTCAGTATGAACAGAAATCAGGCTCTTTCTTCTGAGGTGCAAACAACTGCTCAAACACAGGCTAGCTGATAAGAAGGAGGGTGTATAGCTACAAGGGGCTACTAAATTTGGTTGATTTTTTGATTGTGTTTAAATTGGTCTTGATTTCCATTTTTGGTGCCATGCTCAGTAGCAATAAATCTGTGAAGCTCAGCTCCATCATTGATCAATGGCTGGTAATAAAGACAGGGTCATGGGGTTGCATTCCCTATGGTTCTGCAGCCACTGACCCAACATCTTTAATTTGACAATGGGTAATACTGAGTTATAAGAGGGGACAGTAATGACTCAACACACAGCTCTATCATCCCTACTGGAAAAACAACTCAAAAGCACATAGTGGGCCAGCAGAAACATCATAATCTACTAAGGGTGGTACAAAAACACAGTAACAAAGAAAGTACGAAAAGAATTCAATTTAAGCTAAGATTGATTAAGCACCATATTCTCAGTAACTGGGAGAAAAAGACCAAAAGACCAAAAAAACCCAACAAACTGGAAACAATCCCTGACACCAAGAAGCTACTATACTCTACTGAGGGGATATGACCTGAACATAAGTAAGTTAATCCAAAGTAATTTTGAGAGGGAGAGAGAACTAACACCTTTGGGAAGGAGGGAGATCAGGGAAGGCCTCCTGGAAGAGGTGGCACCTTCTAGGGATTCTACATGGCAGAGGAGAGGAGGGCACCCATTTCCAAAGTCTGGGAGTTTTTAAACATGTCACCTGCTGGATCAGGGAGCTGTATTTCTGAAGACACATCACTCTTCATTCGGGTTTCTAAATGACTGTTTCAGAAGAGCCCACCCAAAGCATTTCTCCAAATGTTTGATGAAACCTAGAGGATGCACTTGATGCAAGACCTCTGAAAGAGAATGCTTTCTACCGGAGTGCAAATAAACACCAGTTCTGGGGGAGGGGGAAGGACCTCTTTGTGTTCTGCTGACACTCAGCCCTCAGACCAGAAGGTTCGCTAGATACCAAGGGGTGTGGTATCTCCTTATCAGTAGGACTCCCTGTTCTCCTTTTATCTATTTATAAGTAGTAACCAAAATGAAGCCTGAAAAGCAGTGATGTAGATTTTGGAAAAGGGAAAGACTAGAGAAATAGGTCTTTAATAACCTAAGACTACAGTACTTAATTAGGAAACAGGAAAAATAAAAGAAGGTGAGGTTAAAGAATCATGCCTCTTCTTGCAAATACACTTCAGTTTCACATGTCTAGGAGGTGGCCAATCAATCAATCAATAAACATTAATTAAGTGCCTATTATGTGCCAGGCACTGTGCTAAGTGCTGGGAATATGAAAAGAGGCAAAAGACAGTTCCTGCTTTCAAGAAGCTCAAACTCTCACGGGGCAGACAACAAGCAAACAAATACGTACAATCTGTGTACAGAATAAACAGGTAACAAGAGAAGGTCTGAGAAGAGGGCTTAGCAAAGACTTCCTGTCAACAGGTTAGGAATACTCTTGAACAAAGGTAAAGTTATGATGGTGCATCTCCTTCCTCTCTCAGCCCGAGAAGAACAACCCTTCAAGGCCCTGATCTTGGCATCCTCTTTTTTTTGGCTAGGCAATGGGGTTAAGTGACTCGCCTAGGGTCACAGAGCTAGTAAGTGTCAAATGTCTGAGGCTGGATTTGAACTCAGGTCCTCCTGATTCCAGGGCCAGTGCTCTATCCACTGCACCACCTAGCTGCCCCTTGGCATCCTCTTTCAAGAGCAGTTCATATTAGCAATAGGAACACCACCACCTGCAACCCAGCTGTCCCAGAGCTTTGCCGTCTATGCTACAAGCAGGACTTGATTCACACTGGTCACACCTGTAGGAAAGGTTTCAAAGGTGCAGCCCCCAAAGGGACTTTGAGTGAGGGTGACAAATAGCATTGCGGTTATGGAGGGTCTCAGGGCACAGGTATTTCCTTGGAAGAAAAGGACTGTAGATATTACCACAGCACTGGGAAGAACATTCACCAAGTTTAAAAAAAAAAAAAAGGCAACACATTTCTGAGATGCACAGTACAGTTAAAACTTTCTTGAAATTCTGTGAGGTCAGGGCAAGTGTATGTCAAATCAGTCAATCAACAAGCATTTATTAAGCCATTAATGTGTTAGGCATTGAGCTAAGTGCTGGGGATACAGTATGAGTGGAAGGAAAAGTAATCTCAGAAAAAAGGGATTAGCAGCTAGTGGGGGTAGGGAGGAGGGGGAGAAGGGAGAAGCAGCAAAAGACAGACTGGAGCTGAATCTTGAAGAAAGTCAGGGAAACCAAGAGGGAGAGGTGAGGGAGAAGGGCCTTCTGGGCATGGGGAGCAGCCTGTGCAAAGGCATGGCGATGGGAAACTCGAGTGTTGTGTTTGAGGAAATGGTCAGTGTAGCTGGAATGTAGAATCCTGAAAGGTCAAAGACGGACAAGTTGTAAACAAAGGATTTGATATTTGATGTTGGAGGGAAAAGGGAACTACTAGAATTTACTGCAGGTGCGTGCGCACGTGTGTGTGTGTGTGTGTGTGTGTGTGTGTGAACTACTAGAATTTACTGAGGGGTGTGTGTGTGTGTGTCTCTCTCTCTCTCTCTCTCACAGTCACACCTACACTTCTTTTGCAGCCAAGTGGAGTATGGTCTGCAGCAGAGAGAACTGAGCGGGGAGACTAATGAGAAGGCTACTTCAACAGTCCAGAAGGAGGTAAGGAGGGGGTGGACACGGTGGAGGCTGGGTGACTGGGAGAAGGGAACAGACAATAGAGATGCTGTAAAGTTGTCACCAGGATGCAACAACAGGTTGGTTACTTGGGGTGAGTCCGAGTGAAGAGATACCAAGATACCAAGACGACAAGTCTGGATGACCGGTAGGATGTGGGGGCCCTTGACGGTGTTAGGAAAGCTGAGAAAAGGGACATTCTGGGGAAAGATAAGGGGTTCTGTTTTGGACACAGAGAGTTTCATAATACCTCTGGGACAACCAGTTTGAGATGTCTACAAGGCAGTTGGTGATGTGGGACTGGAACTCAGGAACAATATTTGGGTTTGATACACAGGGTGTCCCAAAAGAGCAGCTTTAATACATTAAAACATTACTATTAACACTAAAAACTGCACTAAGATTTCTGAGATACCTTGTACAGATCTGGAAATCCTCTGCATAGATATGAGTATTGAACCCACGGGGTTTCACACAGATACAGACACGTACAGACACAGGGGCACACACTGGATACAAAGGAGGCTGACATTTAATTTTTTTATATAAACAGAGATCAAGTAGGTCTCTTGTCAAGTTAAGTCAGGTCCACGGCACTGACTCTGTCTAGGAGGCTGGTGGTTTGGGCTTTAATCAAAGGCCATGCTTTCATCTGCTCCAAACTGTAGGCCAACAAGAGAGTTTATATCATTTAGAATTGAGCGGCTGTCAAAGAGCATTCTCTGCAGAACAAATAAGTGACATGCACCATCGCTCTGGTTCATTTGAATCAGTGACTCTTGTTCTGACTGAGCTGATTTGCTTACTAGAGCTCAGCAACCTCTCACTGAGCTCATACGGTGAGAAGGCATGGAGGTGGGCAGGGAGGAAAGTGCTAACAGCTGCCAGTGGCAGAATGCTAGGCCCAGGAGAGAAACGAAGGACTTTAGTTATCCCAGTGCTATCATTCTATAAATTTAACTTTTCAGTCCTTGCCTTTAAAAACAGCACACACTTGTATCCGTAAACCTTTCCTATGCTGTCAGAGAAAAATAAAACTAAATGATCCTACAAGAAATGCAATATTCTATTTTCCAACATGGTCTTGGAGACTGTTACTGGCCAAAGCTAACAATGACCTCATCCAGGCCAGCAGAAAGAATGAGAGCTTTTATTAAAATGTCTACCCATATATTAGCTAAAGGAAGCATGTGATGGTATCTTTTTGGAGATTTCCCCCAGAATTCTCTTTATTAATTATACATGCCATGGCAACAGCAGACTTGTCCTGTGTATCTATAGCTGCCCACGTTTCACTGAGGCTGGTGATCTTCCCCTGATGCAAAATGCACAGGACTGTGGAGGGTTCCTTCACAGGCCCCCTTCTGCAGGGAGCCTCCCCGGGCCTAGCTCAGCTGCCACACACAGAGGAAGGCCTGCTGCTCAGCCTGGTCTCAGAGTCTTTCCAGTTTCCCAGGACCTGCCACAGCTTATCCCTTGTTGGCAGCACCCTCAAGAACACAGAGCTGTTCCCATGCCATGATGAGGTGCCTGAGGAACGCAACAGCGGAGTTCAGCTGTCCTGAGGGGACGCAACACGCTACGTGACACAATAGGATGAGGGGGAGGGATTAGGCAGGAGGATGCAGCAGCCTTATTGGATGGAAAGCCAGGCCTGGCCAGAGCAGAATAAACTGCATTTTAAACACACTAATGTGTACACATATTCCTCTATTTCTTTAAATTCTATTTTTAAGAATGAGAAGTGATTCATCACTATACTCCTGTTGTCAGAGGCAAATTTCACCTCTTAATCAAGCTTAAAGAAAAGCTTGTCATTCAAACTTGGCGTTGGGAGGAAAAGGCTTCCCTGCCACAGCACCTGGGTGCTGCTTGATTTCTGGGCTAACTCTGAGAAGGAAAAGTGCAGTGGAATCTCCCACCTCGATGCCTCCACACTCACCCACCAAGTTCTCGAGTGCCGACCAGGAGCCAGGACATATTTCTTCCCACTTTCCTCTCTTGGGAACTCAATCTGGTCTCAAAGGCTCAGTGCAGATACCGTTCCCCATTCCTCCCCACACCCAGCAGTCCCTTACTTCCCCAATCATTAGGACTCTCTCCTTCCAGCTACCTTGTAGCATGAACGTAGTGGGAACAAGGGGAAATCCCCAGGCTGCCTGCATTGCCTGCCTTTGTCCTGTGTCCCCAGCACAGGAATGATGCCCTGCCCAAAGAAGCACTCAAGACACCTTGGTTCAATTGGACTAAAGAACATCCTAACACTCTCTTCATTCAAGGCTGACAAAAAGCACAGCTGATATGGTAAGCTCAGGTTAATCCAATACTCCCCCATTCCTAACATGACTATCCCCCCCACACACACACAGAGAAGGGAAAGGAGCAAGCATTTATTAAGGGCCTACTAAGTGTCAGACACCATGCTAAAACTTTTTACAAATACTGTCTTGTTTTATCCTCAAAACAACCCTGGGGGTAGGTGCTATTATTATCCCCATTTTACAGCTGAAGAAACAGGTACACGGAGGTTAAGTGACTTGCCCAGGGTCACAAGGCTAGAAAGTGTCTGATTTGAAGTTAGATAGGAAGCTAATTTGAACTCAGGTCTTCCTGATGCCAGGCCCAGCTCTTTATTCACAACGCCCACCTGGCTATCTATACGTCACTGAGTTTCTTGTGTGCGCTTTTAAAAACAGGGTGATTGCATTGTAAATGGTCTTTATGATAATAAAAATACAATTCACAGCCAGGATTATGAAGAAGTTTGTCAGCTACTTTACACAATCGGAAAACCAAAGTGGGTGCTCTTCCCTGACACAGTAGGGAAGAGCTATTTTTCTGTTATTTAGAAAAAGGAATGCACACTTCCCTAAACTGTGGCTTCTTAACCACAAGTGCCCATGAAGAGGGTGTGAAAAACAAACTCATAACCCACACATGCCTCTAAAACAAGATTTGCAGAGCTCATCCGCACCCGATCCTTAATTAATAACACAGAGTTGAGGTCAGCCACCTATCAGTGACGGCAGATTTGTTTTCACTCATCTGACCTGAACTCCCCGGCGACATGACCATACCTGCAGTGATGGGCTCTGTCAGGTTTGATGCTACAGCACTTTGGGCACTTGTATACTACTTGCCCTGGCTTCAACTGTAAACTTTCGATGAATTCTTTTGTGGCATTTCCTTTGGGCACTGCACCCTGCAAGCAGAAAGGAGAACGTCAGATAGAGACCTTGAGGAAACGTTCCAGTGCAGGGCACTTGGCCACATGAGCTAGCCAACAAGCCATTCACTGAAGAGTGTGAGGCATTACACTAGGTGCTGAGGATACAAAGACAAAAAATACAATAATTACTGCTTTCAAGGACATAGATAAATACACACAGAATGAATATATTCAAAAAATACAAAACAATATGAAGTTATTAAATACAATGGCAGCTGAGGAGAGGACTGACTGGACTGGGGAGAGACAAAGTGGGGAGTCCAAGGAGAAGGCCGCCGGTTAGAGGTGATGAGGTCCTCAATCATGAACTGAGATAAAGGGTTGGATGTGGGAGACATTAAAGAGGTAGAAATGGCAAAATCTGGCAACTGACTGGAAAAGCAAGATAAGGGGAAGTGAGGAGTCAAGGATAACACCAAGGTTACAAACTTGGAGCCCAGAAGAATGGTTGGTATCCTAAGGAGAAATACAGAAGTTTAAAAGAGGAAAGAGTTTTAGAGGAAAAACCGTAAGTTCTGCTTAGGACATGTTGAGTTTGAGAAGTTGTTGGTACATCTCAAAAGAAGTTAGTGACATGGAACTGTCTGGAGCTCAATATATATCCAGGACTGGATCTATACATCTGGGAGATGATGCTTAAAGCCAGTGGAGCTGATGATATAACCTATCAAGCACTGGAATGATGAAGTCACTAATTAATCAATTAATCAATATACATTTGAGTCCCCATATGCCAGGTACTATGCTGAGTGCTAGAGATAAAAAGTCGGTCCCTTCAAGGAATTCATATTCTAGATAGCAAGAAGGCCCACAAGAGAACTTTGGGGTACACCTGCTGTTAGGGAGCATGATAGGGATAATGATGCAAGAAAGAAGACTGAAGAGAGGTCACAAAGCGATCAGGAGGAGTATCAGTCAATTAATCAGGACGCATTTATTAGGCCATGCTTTGGAGATACAAAAAAAAGCAAAAGCAGTCATTGCCCTCAAAGTGCTTCCATTCTAATGGGGGATACAGAATGTACAAATAGAAGATACATACAGAATAGGTGAAAGGCAGCCTTGGAGGGGAAAGCTCCCAGGACAGAGGCATATCAACACAGTGATGAGGAACATGGATCCTCTCCCCTCTCTCTTCTTTCTGACCAAAGCGGAGCACTAATAATTTATTGACGACAAAAATATCATCCACCAAATGGTAAAGGAACCAACAAGAGGAACTTCTATTCCAGACTGAATTTTAACCAAGAAGAATCTGTTTGCTGAGGGAGAAAATGATGTAAATCTTGATGGTACACGATTAGTGTATCTTAGAATTTGTTACTAGGAGGAGAGAAAAGCCAGGGAGGGTCTGACATGGACCATAGATTTCAGTTAAGCAGTTTTCAAAAGATCAGAAAAATCACAGGTAAGATTTCAGGGCATAAAATTCTACTTGGAAGCCAGTCCAGGAGGGGCAAGAAGCTCAAGAGTAAAATTCTGCAGATAGAGACACAAGAGAGAATGTCCAACTGAAACAGAGATGTGGGCCACTAAACTGCACGTAAGGATCCCTGCAGGCTGCACAGTGACTTAGAAAACCATACATGTTTCTTTCTTTCTTTTTTAAAAAATTAATATATCAACACATTAAAATCATATAGGAACTACATTTTAATCCGGTTCAGGCCATGGAATGTTGTGGGCCAGATGTTTAAAACCTCTGGTTTAGACACTACTGCAGATTTACAGGAAAATCATCAAATTCTTTTTGGAGACCCAAAATGTAGGCAAGGGCAGGGCACAGAGAATGAATACAAAATCACATTATGGTTCTGTAAGAGTAGTATCAGAAGTACAAGAATTGAGAATGAGCTGACGCTGGTGAGAACAGTTAAGGAAAACAAAAACTTTATTTTTTTAAGCTAAATTGAGGAAAAGAGGTAGGTCAAAGAAGGGAGAGCACCACTGCTCAAGGTGGATGAGACAATGATATCAGAAGACAGGGCTATTCAATTCATAATTTTGCTTCTATTTGCTCTGCACCAAGGAGAATAATATTTGGATTGAAAAGGAGGGGGAAAACAGCTAAAGCAATGTGAGCTGATTACCAAGAGAAGTGTGCCAGTAGTAATATGAAAGGATCTTGTAGCCCCTGATAACTTCAAGACACTAGGTCTAGATGAACTACATCATGGAGAAAAGCAAATGAACTGATTTTCAAAAAAGAATAGGGAAGAAATGGGAATTTGAAAACTATAATCCAACGAGGTTCCCTGTACTTCCTGACAAAATTCCAGAATATGTTACTAAAGGATAGTTAGTAAACATCCTACAAATGAAAGCATGGCTTCATTAAGAACAGGTCATGCCAGACTAACCTCCTTCTCTTTTTCTGACAGCATTATTCCTCGTCACAAGAAAATGAAGATGATATAGTTTACTTAGATTTTACCAGAGAGTTTGACAAAATCTCTCATGACATTCTTATGAAAAGGAGAAGATATGTGGCTAACCAGTAGTATAGTTAGGTAGATGAAGAAGCAAATGAAAGGACAGATCCAAAGTGTAGCCGTTAATAGTTCAACGTCATGTTGGAAGGAAGTATTAGTTAGTGGAGTATCCCAGAGATACGTGCATAAGTCAATCAATCAATAAGCATTTATTAAAGGTCTGCTACTATCAGAGTACTTAACGGCAAGCAATCAAGTTCGCAAATGACAGTTAACAGTAAGGATTACAGTCTGGATCCAAACATAGCTTGACAGGCTAGGATACTGGGTGAAATGGGATAAAATGAAATGTAATAGAGATAAATGTGAAGTCTTACAATAGAGGTCAAAAAATCAACTTCACAAGTACAAGATGAAGGAAGCATGAGTAGATAACAGTTCATGCGGAAAAGATCTGGGAGTTTCAGCAGAGCACAGACAAAATATGAGTCTGCAGTGTGATGCAGCAATAAAGGAAAGCTAAAAGAATATTAGGCTGCTTCAAGAGAAGCACAGCGTCCAGAACTAAGGAGGACAGAGTCACTGTATTTTGCCCTGGTTCCAGGCCACATTTGGAGAATTACGTTTGGTTCTAGAGGTTTCATTTTACGAAAGATATTAATAACCCTGAAATTGATGGTAAGGCAACTTAAATCATGCCATGAGGACTGGCTGGAGAACTTGAGAATGTTTAACCTGCAGAAGAAAAGTATGAAGGGAAACTGATGACTGTCTATGACTTTTTACAGGGTAGTCACCTGCACAAGAGATTAACCTGACTATCTCTGGCCCCAAAGGAGCTATGAATCCACTTCTACTCATCACAAGGGGTAGAAGTTGCAAAGAGGAAAACTCAGGCTGAATGCAAAGATAAACTGCCTTACAACAACTAGAGTGATTCCAAAAGAATATGCTCTATTGGGAAGTAGCGGGATTCCCCTCATTGCAAGACTTCAAACCCACACTGGATGACTAATTTCCAGGTTTGTGGAGAAAAGCTCCCTGCTTGGCTAAGGGATGGGAAGGACGGTTTCTGAAGTCTTTTCCAACAAGGAATCTCAATGATTTTGAGTGGCAGATAAAGCATAGTAAGGACTCCCAGAGTTCAAAGGAGGGACAGAGATCATTATGAGGTAGTATAGCTATAGAAGGTTACAAAAGTCAGAAAAACTAGAAACAGGTAGGATAATGAGTCAGCAAACCTGAGGAAGAGCATTTCAAGCAGGGGCAACATATTATGAGCAAAGGAACATAGCTGGGGAAGGCACATAACATGTTTCAGATACAATGACCATAACATTCTGCATGGAGGAGGTCTGTATGAGGAAATCAACAAGGGCAAGACTCGAACATAGGTCCGGGTCACGCTGTAGAGGACTTTGAATGCCAGGATAAAGATTTAGACTTTCTCTCTTTAGGGTAGTGTTTTCCAAACTAGGTTGTGAAGAATGGTCGCATGAGAAAACTGTAAAGCTAATAATACTGTCCAGAGACAGGGGAGGAAGGAAGGGAAGAAGTGCACTGAGCTATGGTTCAGGAACTCACAGGAACTGAACTAAGATGGTCACTGAGGTCTCTTTCGACTCTGAAATTCTCTGATGCTGTGAAGGGAGAACAGGAGAGGAGATAGTACATGGCAGTGTAAACCAAGCAAAAGAGGAGGCCAAAGTTTTTAGTCTCTGCTCACAGCAGTGAGAACAGGAAGCGGCTGGAAGATGAAGCAATGGTGACTATATGGTCTATAATCTGTAAATATGATTGGGACAAGAGAGTAGGATAGATGAGGTGAGTCAAAGGTCAAAGAGAAAGCTTTGGCTGAATCTGAGAGAACATGACTGAAATCTAGGGTAAGAGGCCAGATGCCCTGAAGACAGAAGGAGGAAAGGGGAGCATTGAGCATTGAGCCTTTCTCCAAGCACAAGAGACTTCCATGGCTCTCAAACAACAGAAGCCCAATGCTATTCTGGTTCATATCCAAAATTCTGGTGTGAAAACAGACTTACTTTATTCTCCTCACTTCCTTCTATCCTTCCCTACTCCACAGTACATCATAACCTCTGACCAATATTAATATGGTCAATTATACTACATTTCAAACTCCAAAGTATTTCATGGCCAAAAGTTTGTGGAATCCTGTTTTAGGCAAGAGCCTAAATTGTAGGTACACTGAAAGTACTTGGTCAAATGAGCAAAAATAAAGTGGCTGGGACATGTTGTGTGCAGAAAGGTTCTTCTAGATTGTTACTGTTGTTCATCTGTTTCAGTCATGTCCGACTCTCCTGGGATTTTCTTGGCAAAGATACTGGAGTGGTTCTCCATTTCCTTCTCCAGCTCATTTTACAGATGAGAAAACTGAGGCAAAGAGTTAAGTGACTTGCCCAGGGTCACACAGTAAGTGTCTGAGGCCAGAATGAATTTGGGAAAAGGCACCTTCCTGAATCCAGGCCTGGCACTCTATCCACTGTACCACCTAACTGCCCCTTTTCTAGATTACTGTTGGTC